CAGTATAATCAATTAATATACGTCCTGTTGGTTTTAATTTTTCAAATTCTAATGAATAATTATCTTCATGTTGTGTAGAATTAATTATAGTTGGATTTAAACGACATATTTCAGGTAATGTACTAATACCAAACCAAACATTAAATTCACGTGCTACACTATCAGCTAATTCTAAAAGACGATGATCTGTTATTTTAGGATTTCGATCCATTTCAATAATTAAATTTGATTTTAATGCACCTATTGCAGCACCACTAAAATTTGTTGTAATTTTAACTAAAGAATCTATACGTTTTGGTGTAAAAACACTTGAATCTTTACAAACTAATGGTAATAACATATTACTTCTTATTGCTGGTGATGGACGACCAACAAATACTTTAGCTTGCATTCGCCGAAGAAATGCTTCATCCATCATATTACGACGATTTGTAGCACCAAATACAATTAAATTTGGAATATTTTTTACACCTTCAATATGTGATAATAATACACTAATACCATCAACTTTTCCTTGTTGTGCATTATTATCACGTTTAGGTACAAGACCATCAATTTCATCAATTGTCATTGCACAAATTAAAAATGGAATAGTATGTGCACGATACATTATATCAACAAGAAGTTTTTCTGTTTCACCAACATATGGTCGATTAAGTTCACCAGCAGCTAATGGTTGTGTAATCATTGTTATTCCAGCATAGATTGCAACTCGTTTAAGTAGTTCAGATTTACCTGTCAAATATTAATATACAAAAAATAAAAATAGATTATGAAATCGAATGACTTCTTATAATAAAAAATAGAATTTCAATAAATGAATCATACATTAGTTACTATTGTTTAGAAAAATTTGATATTCTTTCACTTTGCCGTTTTTTGTTTTTGAACATCAACAAAGACAATGATAATTAGAGAAAAGTTATAAGACAAGTAATACTTATCCAACGGATTCACGAGCTCTCTTCTGCACGATAATATCGTCGTCTCACAAAGTAATTTATGTTTAGAGATTACACCACTTTTTCAATACTTGATATAAATAGTTATTCGAGAAAGCATCTTGTACAATTCACACCTCTTCAGAGAAGTTTCTTCTACACATGAAGCTCAAAAATAATCTTTGAGTCAATCATTGTCATTCCAACAATCGTTTTATATTTATGAAATCAATATCTTTCTCATGTGAAGCTACGAGAATCATCTTTAAGTTGATGGTCAATGTCATTCGATCCATCGCATGGGATACATTATTTCTATATAAAATGAATCTGTGTTGATATAAAAAACTTGTTGAACCTCACTACGAGTTTTCTCATCTGAGACTCTGACCAAACTAATATCTAAACTGTCATCTCCAATGTATTCTGTTTCTTAATAAAACATTGCTAAAAGAACTGGCGAACCAATGTGCAAAAAATTAACTTTGCATTTGGAATCCCTAGTTTTCTCTTCACCTTTGGTCAAGCTTTGAAACAACATTTTTCTTGATATATTAACACTGCTAATATAAACAGAGTTTAAGAAAATATAAATTCGACCTCTGACTCAGTTCCACCGTCCTTAAGTAATTTTGGTTCAGTATCATAGTATCATATTGAATTGGTTTTCTGTAATCTATGAATGCGGCTGTCTGACTGGATAGGATAGACAGATGTACAAACAGAAACATTTGGTGTTGTAGATATTTTTCTTTAGAAAACGGAAAAACATAGTTTTACTTTATAAAATGTCTTGCATAAACCCAAATACGTAAAGAATTTGTAAAAATTTTGCAACAGTATATTTCTTTTACTAGAAGAAAACTTTAACTTACCAGTTCCTGGGGGACCATATAATAAGAGACCGCGTCCATACTTTACTGATAATTTTTTTTGTTGATCATCTAATTTGAATTTCGCTAACTTTTCTAAACTTTCTATTTGTTTTTTGTTATTAGCAGCTTTTGTTACTAAACTCATATAGAGTTCATTTTCTTTTTCATATACTTTTTGAGCATTTTCATATATTTTATCTCGACGATTTTTTGATACTTCTATATTTCTTAATGCAGTAACACGTCTTCTATCAGATTGTTGTATGTTTAATTCTAATGTAGGTAGTTCACGTCTTAATTGCTCAATTTCAGTGGCCCATCTTATTGTTTTTTGTTCATATAATGCTTTATCTTCAATTTTATTTTCCAAACAAAATGTTCGTAAATAATTATGAATATTAATTAATATATTACCATCATCATCGTAAGTTTTTCTAACTTCATCAATAGCCGAATCAACTGCTTTACGTGATAAATATGGAATAAGATGAAGTTTTTTTATTGTATAATAAAAATAACGTCGAATACGATGAATATCACCTATTAATGTTGCTATTGATTCTTTATATGGATCTGTATTTTGATTAAATGAAGCAACAGCACTATTTATTTGCATATAATCTCGTATTAATTGTTTAACAACATGACTAATTCTATTCAATTTATCCCAATCATCTTTTGTTATACTACGTAAATGATCGATTGTATTGATATTTTCATCTAAACAAAACAAGAAAAATGATAAGACAAAATTTATTCAGTAAAAAATCAAATTCAAGAAAATTCTCATTCTATAATTAATTCCGTAATATCATCTCAGAAATTGGTAGATATACTTCTCATGACAAGCAAGTAAAACGAATTTTTTCAAAGTAAAAAAAAACCGACAATTTACCTCTAAGAGCAGCAATCCATTTATTTGCATCTCTTTCATCATATTTATTTTCTCGACAAATAGTACGTAATATTCCATACAATGTTGTTGTATCATTATCATTTGCATTAACTTCTGTTATTGACGTTATATTACCATTACTCATTGAACCCATCTGAAATTCTCGAACAATAACATTTGTATCATTTGTTGTTCTCCATAATTTTGGAAAAACATCACCATTTGGACATTCATATTCAATATCAAATAAATTCAATAGAAAATAATGATTAAACGGACCAAATGCATCATTTTTACGTGTAAATAATGTTGGACGATAAATTTTACATATAGTCTGATTACTTGTATCAATGGAATCATTTAATATATGAAGTGTATAAAGTTGTAAAATTGATAATTTTCGATTATTAACTATCATATTATCATCTGGGCGTGTAAGTTCTTTAACAAATTCACGAATATAAGAATGATCATATTTTATTTTTAGATTAAGAATAATAACTTTAATTTCGGTCGGTTGATTTTCTTCTGCTGATTTTGATGAAGAAGAAGCGTTTGTGGATGAAATCATGTTTGATGTTGCCGAATAAGATTCTTGACTTAACGATACAGAATCAAGTGGACTAGAATCGTATGGCTTCCATGTTTCATCATCACCATCATCAACTCGTTTCGACATAGTATTGATCTGAAAGTATTATCAATAAAACAGAAACAGCCAGCAAAAACATGAAGAAATTGGTAAAAGATACAACAAAAGTCAAAACCAGTTCATAGTTAAAGAGAGAGAGCACTTGTTGAACTGATTCAGAAAACATGTTATAGCTATTGGTAATAAATCTGAAGAGATAAGTTACAAACTTGAGAAAGATTAATTTGCTGAATTTCAATTTCATTTTTAGACTTTTGAAATCAAGTTCTCTGATTCAACATAAAAATTTCAATAGAGAAACTTAGTTTCAATATTATTGCTTGACAACATAGTCGAAATACGTATTGAACAAAAGAATGGATTTGCATAGGACTTGAAAATCTATAAACTTTTTCAGATGAATCAAAATTATCTTTTTGTTTTTTGTATTTTATTTTAACTGTGAACTTATCAGAAGTAATGTGGAGTATGAGTTTTGCTTTATTTTTATCTATCTTCGACAAAGCTTGATTTTTCTTAGGCCATTAATAAACTATGAAAAAAAAGAGTTTCTTTTGTGTACAGTTTCCTCATCAAGAGTTTGTTCAAAACAAAAATGGATACTATATTCATCATCAGAATAAAAATTAGCATACGACAACATTGATTGTAGCAAGAAAAAGAATTTCATCAAAATGCTACCTTTTCTTTTTGTTAACATTATGTGATAAGAAATGCTCTGGTGATCCCTCACGGGTAACATTCTGATGAAAGTTTTTTCTTGCTACAATCAATGTCGTTATATGTCAATTTTTACGCCGATGCTGTATATCGTATCCATTTTCGATTTGAACAAACTCTTGATGAGGAAAGTCTACACAAAAGAAACTCTTTTTTTTTAAATATTTTATGAATGATCTGAGAAAATCAAATTTTGTTGAAGATAGATAAAAATGGAGCAAAATTCTTACTTCACATTACTTCTGACAAGTTCAGAGTTAAAATAAAGTACAAAGAAAAAAAAATAATTTTGATTCATCTGAAAAAGTAGGTAAGTTTTCAAGTCCTATGCAAACTCATTCTTTTGTTTAAAAAGTATTTCTACTATACTGTCAAGCAACACTATCGAAACTAGTCTTTGCTTTCGATTTTCTTATATTGAATAAGACAACTTGATTTTAGAAATCTAAAAATGAGGCTCCATATTTAGCAAATCAATCTTTCACAAGTTTATTTTTAAAAACATTCGGAATTATTTTTAGTTTCAAATACTCGTCAAAATTTTTCTCTTCAGAATCCCTACCAACAGCTAAAAGATATATTAACAGAATCAGTTCGATGAATTTTCTCTCTCTCTCTTCAACTATGTATCAATTATTAACAACTATTATCTCACGAAAGTTTTCAATTATGGACACCTTAATTCTATCAGAATAGTTTCGAGATTACAAAATAATATTTTATAACATTCAATGATGGAATCTGTTGCTTACTTCAATTTGTCAAAAACAAAAAAGAAAAAAAATGAATTATTGATTTGGTGTGTTATTTTTCATTAGAATTAAAAAAACAAAGAAGTTGATATAATTTCATGATTATTCAAAAATGAAAATGTTTGTTGTTTGTTTTTTTTGAGACATTTCTTTTTTCGAAATTTTTTACTCATATCGTTGTTTTTGCTGTGTTTGATACTGTGGATTTCTAATATTCGATATATTAGATTGTTGTAATCGATTCCATACATCAGGACGTGCTTGAAAATCATATTCAAGAATTGCATTCGTCTTTTGTTGAACTTTGACATAAACATCATGATAATTTGTTTTAATATTTCTTAATGTTTCTTCATATTGTAGAAGTTTACGAAAGGTATCATTACGTACGCCTTCATAATTTTGCATATGTTCAACCGATTTTTTAATATTTTCTTTCAGTTTATTACATGTTTCTTCACTTGCCACCATAACATCATAATTTTGTTTTATATTTGTATTAACATTATCAATATTTTTCTGTGTATCAGCCATAGTTTTTCGTGTATGCTCTTGATGTATACGTAAATCTTGAATTTTATTTTGAATACCTCTAATTTCATTTTCTTTTTGTTCAATTTCATTATCTTTACGACGTAATTTTTCTTGTAAATCTTGTATTTGATTGTTTAATTTTTTATCTTGTGCTTCTAATAAAGATAATTTTGTTTGAAGTGTTTTAATTTTATTTATTTGTTGTTGAATTGCTGCTTGTTTTTGTTTATATAATATATTTTGTTTATCTAATTCTTCTCTCGTATTTTGCTGATCTCGTTCATAATTTTTTTTTTCTTCTTGTAAATCTTTAATATTATTATCAATACGAGTCAATTCAGTACTATTAGTTGCATATTGATGTTTATTTGTTTCCAATAGATTACGTTTACCAGCAATGTCTTCTGTTAATTCTTGTACATTTTTCTTACTTGCTTCAAGTAAATTTTCTTCATTGGCTATTTCTCGTACTTTGGCTTTTTCATTATTTTCTTTATCGCGAATTGATTGTTTCAATGATTGAACTTTTTGCTTTGAAAGTTCAACGATTGTTTGTTTCTGTTGCAGATCATTTGTAGCTTTGACTAAATTCCTTTGATTGGAAGTTATCGAGTCTTGATGTTCAGTCATTGTTCGTTGATGATTTGTTATGGTTCTATCTATCATTTGTGTCTCATTCGATAACTCTTTTTTCTGTGCTTCATGTTTAGTAAAATCTTGTCTATGTTTTTCAAGTTCACTGTTTAGAGTAACTATTTTTGTACGAGCATCTTCCATCTTGCTCTCTGTATTTTTCTTTTCAATTTGCAGTTTTCTACGTTCTGATGTTGCATCTCGATATTGCGTAGTTATATTCTCAACTTTACTTTTACACATTGCAACATTATTGATTTTAGAAGTCAATGTTTGATCTTGCTGAATACGATCTTGTGTTTTTTGCTTCAATTGGCTAGTCAAATCCAGAGTTTTATTTGTGGCTGCTGTATGCTTTTGTTCATGATCTGATAAGTTTCGTTTCTTTGTTTCCAATTTTTGTTCTGCCTGTTCTAAATCATGTCGTGCTCGATTAACAGCATCTTGTTTTTCTCTTTTATTATCTTCTCCAAACGAAATAAACAAAAATTTGAATGAAAAACAATTATTTAAATCTTCTTCCGCCTTCTGCAAATTTTTTTTAGCTTGTTCAACTCGTTCTTTAGCGATTCGCGCTTCATATTGAGCATTATTCAATTGTGTTAACGCAGCCTGTTGTTCTCTTTCAGCTTGCGCTTTTTGATTAGTTAATTCACGTTCTTGCTGTTTCAATTGAGTTAATAACTGTTCGGCCTGTTGCTGAGCACGTTCAGTTTCTTGTAATTCTCTTGTGTATTCCTCTTTACATGCACGTAAATCTTCACATTCATCACCCTTCATAGTCAAGTCATTTTCTAGTTGTTGACATGTTGTTTTTAAATTATCTAGTAATAAGTTTTGTGTTTGTTGTTGTTCTTCAGCGTTGCTAATTTTCATTTGACTTTCTCTCATTAAATCTTCAGCGGCTGCTAATTTTAATTTTATATTTTGCAATTGATTTAAATTATCAATACGTTGATCATCTAATTGTTGCCAGGTTTTCATTAATTGTTGTTTCTCGACTTCTAATAATTTTTTTTGATTTTCTAGTTCTGTAAGATGTTGTTCATTCTTCCTCAAATTATCTTCTTCAACCTCTAATTCTTTCTTGGTATTATTAATATCTTCTCTAAAATAAATGTAAAGAAGCACATAAGTTACTTTTACAGTTTTGTTCTACTTAATAGACGATGAACGTCAAAATTTATTTGAATTATATAGCAACCTAGGATACTTATTAGGGTTCTCTCTGTTACAGATCCCTTCTTCTCCTCACACGCACAGAAGCGAAATCAAACTTAGCCTATCTCGCATACATTTTCAAGTTGGTTACGAATATGTATAGTAAGGTGCAAAGGCCCTTACCCTTCGCATAATTCAACTTTTTAAAAGTATACCTGTGGAAGTTTCTGAAGGATATTTGCGAGAATTTTCTAGAAGGTGAGCAAAGGTCTATATATAGCTGTGTAAACCAAAAGTCATCGTAAACATTTTTAGGTTGAAAGAAAACGCCTAGACAACTAAATAGTACTTCTCTGAACATGAAACAATCTACTATTTTACGCTACTGAAGTAACAGTCATCGATCTCCTGCAAGGATCGCTCGTCTGACGATGATAACCACTCGGACTGTCAAATACAATATTGCCAAGTTCAAAGAACATGGTACAATTGAAAACAGACGCCCTGGTAGTCGACATCGTAGGATTATTGCCAACAACGACAAGACATTCGGTCACTGGATTCGAGGAAACAACGAGACAACGGCAAAACAATTGGCCCGAAAACTGCTTCAGGCCTAAGGTCAACACGTGTCCCAATGGACGGTACAGTGGCAGTTCAAACGAATGGGTTATACGAACAATTTGCCCTATATGACGCCAATGTTGACACAGAAGCAGAAAGATGCATATGTCCAATGAACAATTCAGCACAAGGACGACGATTAGAACCGAACGATATTCACCAATGAAGCTTGCTACCAATTATTCAGAAATATCATTCGATAATAGTCAAAGAATCCAAAGGCTGAGGGCAAGCGAATTCTGAAGAGCAGGCAAAAGACTATGATGTCAGGCGGCTTCAGTGTCAAGGGTCTGGCCGGCCATCATTTGTGCAAGTCTATCATAGATGACTCTTACTACGTTCTAGTTCTTCAAAATTCCTTCATCGGCAATGCCAGATGGCAATTCGGTCAACGCTGGCGATTGCAGCAAGACAATGATCCGAAACATAAAATTTTAATGGCGAAGGAATTCTTAAGCAAGGAAGTGCCAGAAATGATCTACTGGCCGTCGAATAAGGGTGACGGGAATTTCGCAAATAAGACTTTCGCCAACGCACTACCTGGAATTTCGCCAACGTGAGAGTGAATTAAACGTGAATGAAAAGTTTTCATCGTCTACTTTATGATTGTAAGCTATGATATATATACCTTCTAACAACATTAGCTTCAACCCTCATATATATTCTATATTAATATTGTTTCGTCATAGCTGGCGAAAGTCTTATTGGCGAAATTCCGGAACCCCACGAATAATGCCGACGCTAATCCAGTGGCGGACCTCTAGTCTATTATCACATATCGTGTCAAGAAGGGGAAACCATCAAATCTTGATAAACTCAACAGGTTTCTGCACGAAGAATGGGACGACATCAACTCGACCACTCTAAATCATTTCGTCAAATCGATGAAAACATAATGTTTAGCTTTGATTGACTCAATGGATGAGAGGGTCAACTATTAATTTTAATACTTTTGTACCTTGTATTATACCTTATCTGTGTTTATATTTTGTTTCCATATTGTATTCATCATGAGAAGTACTTTAAATACTGATAGATAAAGACTTTTGCATATTATTGTATATGATACGTGTCACTGTTGGAGCTTTCACAAAATCAGAGGCTCACAAAACACGATTCAGCTGTTAAACAGAAATTTACAGGAAAAGCCAAGTATTGCAAAATCAGTAGCAAGCTATAATGTTTTCCAGAGAACTTTTTTACAACATTTTGATAGAAAAAGCCGTAAATTAGATACAACCGTGATAAAGATATAATAAAAATACTGGTATCATCGAATATGAATGCGCATGTATGTTTATTCATGCCTCAGTATTTTCTTCATATATTTGCCATTTTTGTGTCTATTGCCTGTTCAAAAAACAATAATGGCCATGAGTATTTTTGCATCAACTCAAGAATGGAAAGAGATAGAAAGCTGCGACTTTCACCATTCAAGAAAAAAGACTCAGAGCCATCGGAGTAGATCGAAACTCGATCAGTCAGCAATTGACTAATCAGATGAATTCTTGGTAGAGATTTTCAAAATGGTATTCTGAAGCTATTTTCCTATCAATTTAGGCTTTTAATAGAACTGCGCAATAGGAAAAAAATGTTCTCTTTCGATCTACGCAGCGCCGACATTCCTAGCTGGTCTTATTCATGTAAAGACCAAACGCAAAATACATGCATTGAAACGCGGTTTTGTTATAAACCGTATCAAGACGCGATTATAAACTAATATGAAACGCGTCTAAACGCTGTCAGAAGGATTTTTGAAAGGCACCTGGACACGGTTTTATATCACAACGCGTCTCCAGTGAAACATTTTTTGCGTCTAGACGCAAACGAAACGCGATTCAGATCCATTTCGATACAAAAAAATTTACGTGGACATTCGACTAATGATTGGTTAATTATCCCTGCCTACCTTCTTTTTCCGGTGGTCACAGGTCAATTGGCTGAAACCGGGTATCTCAAGAAAATTCTTATAATTCTCGAATAGAACTAACTAGAAATGTCGACCTTGCATAGATCGAAAGGAAGAAACTTTTTTCTATCGCGCAGGCAGTTCCATTAAAAAGCTAAATTGAAAAGAAAATAGCTTCAAATTATCATTTTCGAAAATCTTCATCAAGAATTCACATAATTAGTCAAATAGTGACCCATGAAATTTTGATATATTTTGATAGCTCCAGGTCTTCTCTTTTGAATGGTGAAAACTCTTTTCTCTCAAACTGATTGGAAACGCATTGTCGGCAAGATAGGCTAGACCTAATGTTGTTTTCTTTGAAAGAGATAAGACCTCAAATATTTTCCCTTATACGACAAGGTTTCTAAAGCCTACAAAATGAATAATCTGTCTAGGTTACCCTTTATACGATCATATACAGGACTAGATTTTGATACATGAACATGTAGAGCAATTTACTTAGTAAGAGTTAAAGTCTATCGATTTTGTAGTAACGACAAAATCTTTTACCTATCACATAGTTCTTCTGTGAGTAGGCATGTGCCAAACTCGAAGCCAAACTGTGCGGAAGTTTGAGTTTGTGTTTGGACCTTTTCTATTCGCGTTATTGTAGCTTAGAGTCTTCATCTCTTCGCAATACTTTCTTGTTACTCATGAACGTGCAAAAAAAGAGAGCTGTGAGGCAACATCACTTCTTTGAAATTAGCAAACGTATGAATTATGCATATGCCGTAACCGAGACTCTTGTATCTAGCGATATTTCACCATATATGATCCCATCGTTTTCAATAAAACTTGATCAGATGATGATCAAAGATGGAGCATCCGAGTTCGAAATCATTCTCTCAATTTGGCAATGCTGAGCGACCTATTTTCTATATAAAATCATTACACTTATATGTAGAGAAGATTTTCATAGTCTTTTTATACTGAACTGGATAATTTCGTAGCTTGATGTTGACATTTGTATGCCGTTCATTGACTCGTTTCTAGAGTTCAACATCGGCAACGAGCTGATCCGTCGGTCAGTTCTTTATAGTTAAGCTAAAACTCGAAAAATTCTAAAAAATAGATTTCTGATTCAGATATCCACTGTCAAAGTCCTTTGGTTAAACTTTATTGAAAGAAATAATCCCATTCACATACAAAACGATGCCACTAGGTAGAAGACTGGCGACCAAGACTGACTGAAACCCAGAGTCTGGCTCTCCATAAATGCCTAGCGGCGTTCTATCAAAAACGGCGCGATCATATATGGTAACATGTCGCTATGTATGAAAGTCTTGGTCTTGGTATATGCATGATTCATACGTTTGCTAGTTTCAAAGAAGTGATGTTGGCTCACAGCTCTCTTGTTTAAACGTTCATAAGTAGCAAGAAAGTATTGAGAAGAGATTAAGATTCAAAGATAAAACAATGCGAATAGCATAGCTGCTAATATAACCCTTGTGGAATTAAAATGTGAAATACAGTGTAACTATCGTTGCTAATTACCTAAAATTTCTTTAATTCAATCTATTTTGGTACACATTTCTTCATCACTGTTTATTTAATCCTTTAGAACTGTAATAAGAATGTAGTCCATATATTCTAATGACATGTTAGCGGCATAAGGTCTGTGATGGTCTTTGGAGGCCGTTTGTCAGTCTATGGGGAGAGGGAGAAGCAGTGGGTTCAAAGTTCTATCTCTATATCCTTCAACATTCCTTTTATATTGTGTTTCACAAAATGAGTCAAAACTCATTTGATCAAACCCACCAAACCCAAACAGGTTAAGATTCGTACATGTCTATCTGTAAGACGTACTTTATTTAAAAACCTTTTTGATTCAAAGAATAAAACATCGAGCTTCATTGATTTTATTAGCACGGAAAGCGCGATCATGTTCTAATTACAGTCTAAATGTCTAGCTCATTCATCTACTGATTCTAACATAGTTCGAACTGGTAGAATTTTTTTATTATCAATACCGATTAAACTGCATCGACCGATCGGTATACCGACGTGAGTCATTCTTCTTTTTTCTGACTCTACAACAGTCGAATTAAGACCCTGGCTCAGTCATATGCTCCTTCTAATCATTACAGCACTGCTAATAAGTCATTGTTTCACGACGTTTCTTTTTCTTGACATCTATCAGTGGATAGAAAACATCATAACACTACAAATTCTATATTCATTTTGTGTTTTGATTTACTAATCTGCAGACATCAACACTGTTTATTAACAATATACTTAATGTATCTTCTACGGTATATTCACTTTGTTATCTCTTATGTCTGTGGGAAGAATATGCTATAAATAGTAGGGAATACGAAAAAAGTCTATGAAAAACTACAATTCTAAATAAATATTCGATTTTGTTTGAGTAACATGACGTCATATCAAAGCGTCTTGAGAAAATATACTAAGGATACTATGACGAATTTTGACTTAAGAGAATAGTCTAATGCATATTTTCTCACCAATATGATCTTCGACATGAGTAAAGGGCTTTTGATTTGCATAAAAAAATTCTTTTATCTGTATTTTTTCGAAAAAAGCATGCAAAAACTAAGAAGCAAATTCAAAGCAACCGATAAAAAAAGTTGTATCTGCCAGCCCGTAAGAAATCCTCTAACGGACCAGGCCGGATCGGCCGTTTACCGTTAACGGTTATAACTCTGAATTCTAACTTACCTCAATGTGTTTAATTGTTCATTGATTTTATGGATGTTTTTTTTATACTCATCCATAGTAGTCTGTAAACGAACTAAACCAGCTTCTTTTTCCTTTAATAAATTTGTTAATTGTATAATGACAGCTTCTAACTCAGCTTGTTGTTTTTTTAAATCACTCTGATTCGACATTAATATGCGTTGTTCATCATTTAAACGTTCAAGATTTCGATTGATTTCTCGAATCCTGTTTTCTAAATCTTTAATTTTCTGTGTCAGGTCTTCAATTTGTCTTTCAATTCTTGCCAATTCATCTTTTTCCCTATCTAATATTAATTCATTTTCTCTTAATTCTTCTTGAGCTTGTCGTATCAATTCTTGTAGGCCATTTAATGATAATTCTAATCTATTTCGTTCATCGATCATTTCTTTTTCTTTGTACATCATCTCATTAATTTGTTCTTGTAATCTTTCTCTGTCTTCTTTCATTTTTTGTTGTTTTGCTTCGTTTTGTCGAAGATCGTTTTCAAGACCTTTTGCATGTAAATCTTGTTCATGTAATTCATTTTTGCCTTTTTCGAAATCATTGCTTAAACGAGCATGTTCCTTTTGTAAATCTCGCTGGTCCTTCTGTAATGTTTCTAGTTTTTTCATTTCATTTTGAATTTGTTGTATTAAATCATCATGTTTTTTTAAATTTTCATCTGCTTCTTCCATTTGTTTGTCCCTCAGCTGTCGAGCATCATTTCTTTTTTCCGTGAATCGTTCCATTTCATGAGAAGTATGATCATTTAATTTATTTATTTCTTCATTTAAAATATCAATCTTTGTTTTACTTTCAGATGATAATTCCTTCACTATGTGACTAGGTACAGAGTCTAGATTTGTGGCCATTCCTAAAGTCGGACGAGTTCTATTGAAAATTTATGATCTGCAAAGAAAAAAATATCTTGTTAAGTGAAACAAAACAGTCTTCTTTTAAAGTAACTATGTGAGTTCATTAAATTTGTACAATTGTTATAATCATTTCGGTATGGATGTGGGTGTACTAATTGCGGATGTGGATGTAGGTGAGGGTATGGGTACAGCTATCGGTGAAGTTGTAGGTGCTTATGTGGGCGTGGATGTCGATGTGGACGTGAGTGTAGTTGTGTGTGGGGTGTGCGTGCGAGCGTGGCTGTGTGTATCAATGCGAGTGTGGGTTTGGACGTGGGTAGACATTACCGAGCTCGAGCCTAGACCGAGCAGTTCGGACTCGCTCGATTCGGGCATGGTCGGACTTGGAGTCCGTCAGACTCCGGTTCGGCTCGACTTTGGCACGATCAGGCTCAGCCAAAGCTTAAACGAGTCTACCCTAGCTCGGCCAAGTCCAAACGAATCTGACGGGACCCAACTGAGCTCGACGGAGCCCAATTGAACCATAACGAGCTTTATCGAGCCAGAGCTACTCGAGCTCGGTACATGCGTACACATTAGCGAGGTTGTGAATGTTGATCTCGGTATCGATGTGGACATGGATGAGGTTGTGGGTGTAGGCGTGGGTGTAGTTGTATGTGGGGTGTGGATATGAGTGTGACTGTGTGTATCAGTGTGGACATGGGTGCGGTTGTGAGTGCTGATGGGAGTGTGGGTGTGGGCATGGGTGTAGTTGTGCGTAGGGTGTGGGTGCGATTGTCTGTATCGGTGTGGCTGTGGACGTGGGTAGACATGTACCGAACACGAGCCTAGACCGAGCAGCTTGGGCTCGGACACGGTTGGACTTGGACTCCGTCAGGCTCCGGCTCCACTCGACTCGACTTTGGCACGATCAGGCTCAGGCTTGGTCGGATTTGGGCTCAGTCAAAGCTTAAACGAGTCTAACCGAGCCTGGCAAAGCCCAAACGAATCTTACGGAATCCAACTGAGCTCGACCGAGCCCAACTGAGCCTTAACGAGCTTTACCGAGCCCGAGCTACTTGACCTCGGTACATGTGTACACATTGATAAAATTGTGAATGCTGAACTTGGTATCGGTGTGGACATGGGTGAGGTTGTCGGTGTAGGTGTGGGTGTGGGTGTAGGAGTGGGTGTTGGTGTTGGTGAGCTTGTGGATGTAGATGAGGGTGTGAGTGTAGCTGTGGGTATGTGATCGAATAGAAAATTAACACTGACACTAAGACACTTAAATCTACACTCAGACGGAAACCGATATCTCACACTCTCAATACATACCCACACCCTACGTTACGCCAACATTCCATATCACACAAACACCCCAACCAATACCCAATACTGTAAAGGATGTGAACGCCTTAAGATGTTGACTTTGTAGATCGAAGTAGATGAATTGTAGATCGGAATGTGTTTTATTGTGAAATTACGTTCTGTATATATAGGTGGATGCCATGGAAATGTCTATGAAGGTAAAAAAAGGTAGGAAAAATCCAGCAAGAGTGATGAGAGCGAAAGGAAATATCCAGGTGACAAGAAGAATATGAAAGAAAAAACTCCATATGTGATAATACAGAGGACAGAGAAGTGAAAAATCATGTGAGAGGAAAGAAAAGAAAAAGTGAACGCTCTAGAAAAGAAAGATACACTGGAATAGAAACAACATGAAGTGACACTTGGTCACTCCGTGACAAATACCGACACCTACACCCACACCAAACTATCCCAATCTTAACTTCCCATGTAACCATTTTTAGGTTTTGGGACGCGTTTCTGAGCGTTGAATGCAATAGAACTTAACGCGTTTGTACGCGTCCAAAATGCAACATTTCGGGGGGTTCAAACGAGTTGGGACTCAAGAAACGCATCCAAACTCGTTTGACATATAAGAGCATCATAACGCGTTTTTGTATAAGGATGCGTTTGTAGGCGTCCAAAATGCAACATTTTCAGGCGTAAGAACGCGTTCAGAGAGCTGAGCGCGTCAGCATGCGTTTACTTTTTTTCTCAAGAAATTTGAAAAAATAATCATCACTCTGTGTCGGATTCGAACCGACGCATCATAGCAAACTATGATATAACAATTTCATACCGTGAACAACAGAGTGGAATTTTTCCGACGACAGTTCGAATCAAGATTTGAACACACGACCATCGATTACAAGCCGAACACCAGTAACTCTGAGCTACTTACAGCTCGAAGTTAGTTAAATGTTCATAAAACAAATGACTAACAATTTTTGAAGCACTTATAGCTATAAGAAAATTCTAAGAAAAAAAATAATGCTCATTATTATAACTT